TGAATGCAAGTATCAAATTAGTTTTTTTTAATTTAATGGATATGAACTCTCTACCTCAGGCCAAAAAATTTTACATACAATTTCAGAATACATACAAATGTATGAAAATAAGTGCTATGCAGGTATTACCGCATATGCTAAAAACTAACACACATATGTGCACACACACACACAAATACATGCTAGTACATGAGAAAACCAAAGACCATTAAGTTAAAAAAGAGAAAAGTGAAAACACATAAATTGCATTATTTATTTGTGTAAAAATTTTTATAAATCTACGGCTAGACAGGAGGAATAAGTTCTAGTGTTCTATACCACCGTATGATGACTATGGCTAACAATACTGTTACATAGGTTCAAATAGCTAGAAAAAGGATATTGAATGTTCTCAACACAAAGAAAGGGTAAATGTTTGAAATGATGAATATACTAATTACTTTTATCTGATCACTTTACATTATATGTATCACATCACTATGTACCCCATAAATATATGCAATTAGTATGTGTCAATTAAAAATATTTTCTCTTAGGAAAATAACAAATTTTTACAACTTTTAGAATATCTCTTTGCATTTTCAGAATAAAGTAATGAAAATTTTCACAATTATTCTGGGAAAAATATTCATGTGCTATTTTCAGGATAACATGATTTATGTCATCTGACATTTTGGGGGTCTTTCGCTGGCAATGAAATTTCACATGCAAAGAGTAGCTAAGCATGCTGCAAAGTGATTTCTCAGTTGCTACTGAGGTGTTTTAAGGTTCATTCCCTGTAAACACACGAATTTCTAGAGTGTTGCTTTTTCAGACCTCTCAAGAGTTTACATGTCTGTAAAATGTCATTTAATGTCACTGGGATTCATGCAAATTGAAGCTTTTACCTCTGGTATAAAAATAAAGGTTATCACCTACAAAGCAAAATGTGAATGTGTCATCTCTGAGGTGCTGGTTCACCAGACCCAAAGCATCAGAGCAGTATTCCCAATATTAAAGAAAAAGAGACAGATTTGAAACTTTCCCCAGTAAGACAAAGATAGTCTGGGGGCAAGAATTCCTTGAGATACATTTAGCGTAAGTGAGAGTTGTAAGGCTAGGGCTTTGCGATTGAAAATATGGTCTTCTAACCATCAGAGCATCAGCAGCATCATTGACACCTGTCAGGAATACAGAATCTCAGGCCCTACTCCAGGCCAAGTGAATCAGAATCTGCATTTTAATAAGATTGTCAGTCATTTGGAAGCACATTAAGGTTTGAGGAGATCTGAGCTTAAGTCAGTGGCTGGTTTGGGCACTATCATTAACATTGTTTCTCATTAAACAACTTCATATTTTTATTTTTCTATAAATTGTTTTATTATTTACATTACTAAGCACTATATGGCTATTTTATTTTAACTACTTGAATATATACATCAAAATGCTGTGTTTTTCTATGGAAAACTAATGTGTATATTTTTTAAATGACCCACTTTTAGGAAACTAACCATGACTTAAATTGAGTCAGAAAAAAAATCACTATAATAGGTGGACTTTAAAGGTAGCCCAGGAATACTGCAAATTACCAAGTCAAGGATTTACTAGAAGGTAGAATTGGCATGTCCTAATGAAACTGCAGGCCGGATGCAGTGACTCACGCCCATTTTCTAAAATTTCATTACTTAAAGAGGACATTTAAAATCTAAAAACTGACAGCCCAATTTAAGCAGGAATGAAACTGCCTATCTTGTGTTTTAGCTAAGCTTGTCCATTGGGAGACTGCCTGCTTCTTTCTGCCTGGGAGACATACTTTCTCATAGCCAGAGCAGAGGTGCTTTTTAAGAGTAATATTTCAGGCTGGGCGTGGTGGCTGATGCCTGTAATCCCAACAGTTTGGAAGGCTGAGGAGGGTGAATCATTTGAAGTCAGGAGTTCAGGATCAGCCTGGCCAACATGGTGAAACCCAGTCTCAACTAAAAATACAAAAATTAGCTGGGTATGGTGGCACACACTTGTAATCCCAACTACTCGGAAGGCTGAGGCAGGAGGATTGCTTGAACCCGGGAGGTGGAGGTTGCAGTCAGACAAGATCATGCCACTGCACTCCAGCCTGGGCAACAGAGAAAGACTCCATCTCAAAAAAAAAAAAAAAAAAAGTAAATAAAATTTAAATGTTAAAACAATGAGCTTTCTTTTGTGCCCTGTCTTGCCTCTGATGGGGATGCAAGCGTTCTCCAGGTTGGAGGACCTGATCACAGCAACATCAGCTGCCGGAACACCTCCTTCTCAGAGTGACCACTTTGGACAAGAAAATAATTTTTCATAGGTATGACATGATTAATGTTTCTATGAGCTTCCTTATCTGATGACAGGTGCAGCAAAATATGGTTTCAAAGATTAAGCCAATGAGATTTTATGCCCTTTGTCCATCAGCCCTGTTATTTCACAGATTATTTTAGAGCTATGTATCAGGTAGACACTATTCTAGATGCTTCACATACATTATCTCATTTGATCCTCATATTGTTCCTAACAAGTCAAGTTTCAGTTATAGAGATGCATATCACTTTTTCTTTATTCCCACCTTATCATCACATTCCAGGAAGGGGTAGACCTTCATACGACAAGACCCTGATCCCCAGGTCACAGTTGACTAGACCAGAGGTCGACACCTAATATCAAGTAAACTATGCTAATCAAATTCATATTTGTAGGAATTTGCAGCTGGATATATAAAATATTAAAACCAATAAATACTGTAATACAGAGGCTATATTTGATCCATTTGTAAGTCTTTAGAGAGAATGAAAAACGATCTAGAGACAAAAGACCATTTGGCTCTAAGACAAACTCACTTAGTACTCACTGATGCCTATGTTTCAATTCCTAGATTGACTTGTTTCTGAGGCCTACCACATTTCATGTCCTTGGGGGTTCATAAGGCACCCTGTATCTTTACAATGATTTCTCCTTTCTTCTTAAATTGCCTTGAATAGATAAGGTCATCTACTGAAAACATTCAATACAACCCAATGGTCTCTAAGAGAGTATTCTTATCCTCATTTTATAGATGAGGAAACATACTAAGAGAGTTTAAGCAAGTTACCCAAGATCATGCAGATAGGAAAAAGTGGAATTCAAGTCCAAGTCTACATGACTCCAAAGTTTATGCATTTCACCACTAGATTAATTTAGATCCAAAAATTGTAATATACCTTGCTGTCTGTTAAAGCTGTCTAAATCTAAGCTAGAGGCTTTGATTTACAGAAGTTATTGCCATGTCTCCTTAGAGTTTAATACTCAAAACAACTGCTCATTGTAAACAGACAGACATAGAGTATCCATATTTTCATCTACATCATTAAGTTTAGGGAAGTGAAACTTCCTGCTTTCTAGCTAAGCTGGCCTTCTTTCAAGGACTCCAGTTCTAATTGCTTTTGCAGAACATGTATATTTCTACTATGTTAGACTCATCTGCTCCCAAGGAAAAATTTGGTTTTTTTCTGGTCAATTTGCTTATGCACAATTTGTCATCACTAGACCATTCCTATTGTTTATCTTTATGGATGGTTTCCCAGATGAAATTGACATATATTTTTTTCTCTTTCTAACTAGCGATGAGGCTAGAGTTACTCGTGTAACTCTTCAACAGCTCAGCTCTGGAGTTTAGTTATTAGCCTTCCTTTATGGAGAAAAAAAACCCACTTAAGCAATCCTATTACCCTTTCTGAGCTGTTTTGGTTTTTGTCCTGGGAGATGGGGCCTCACCACTCTATCATCCTACATAACTGCTTAGCTTACAAGAATCTGGACTTGGGCCACTCTGATTCAATGATTATGATAATGGTTTAGGTTAAGACATTTTTTTTTTGTAGTTCAAGCAAAAAAACATCACTTGCTATAAATCCACCAATTTTGGTTACTTTAAATTTGTTATACCCATAACATTATAACATCAACAAGAATTGGTAAAAATCATCCAGATGTCCACCACTCCAAGAAATCACCTTCATTAGTTTTCCTGTATTATTTTGTGTTCTGTTTGTAGACGTGTATACCTATTACCTAGTTTTAATCATAACAGATGGTACTTTTAGTTAGCGTTCCTTCATATAATTTGTCAGGAATCACTTTTTTGAACTGCTAATTCTTTTAAATTATTGTTTGCGTAGCCACATTCAACCATGTCAGATGTTAAACTTTTAGTGTTTCCAGTTACTTCTTTAAACAATGCTAAATCTGGTAACCTAGCCTTTGAGGTGACAAGCTCATGCTTATACCCCCTCACCATGAGTGTTGACAACCATTGGCCACATGTAAGCAAAAACTAAACTGGCAGCAGGAGAGCTCATCCCAGGATGTTGCCAGTTTTTCATTTGCTTGGCAGGGGATCAGTATGCACCCATCTCTTCCTTGGCAGTAATCTAGGCAGATTTGGAAGGTTTTCATCATACTTAACTTGGGGTTCAAAAGCAACAACAACAAAAAAGCAGCTAGGGATCACTGCAATAACACATTTCATACTGAGGGCAATACGGGTCAGTAGGTGACATGCAGTACCAATTGAAACTAGTGTTTTCCATAAGCACTCAAAGTTGTATGCCTCTGTCTTCTCTCCAAATAGGTCCCAAATATGTTACAGAAAAATCTAGGATGGTATTTTCTCCCTTTGACCACAGCTGTGACTCAGAGAGACTTGAGGTCTTTCTGGTACTATTAGTGATCATTTTTGAATTTTTCTCCTCTGGACCCTCAGTCAGCGCTTCTAGAACTGTGTACCTCTTTTGGCTACTGTAAAAGGCACAGTGATTTAAACCTGGAGAAATGTAAATCTGGGCAACCAACAACCTCCCGTCTATCCTTCAAACACATATACACACACTTTTTACACATATCGGTTCATTTTCTTATCAAACACAAATACATGGAACAACACAGTAACAAGAAAAGCAAGAGACCAGGGGTAGATAAGAGGTAATCTACATTTCCTAAGGTGTTTATACTGACCATCCCTCAGCCTTAGCTGTACAGGGGGATTCTCTCTTAAGTCAGGTTGCAGTGTTTAAAAAGCTATGCAATTTGCTACTGTGTTACTCAGTTTCCAAAAGCCACAATCTATTCAGTTCACCTGTTCTGAATCTTTCTTGATTCTCAGAGAAGGCTGTCTCTGATGAGCTCCATCCTTCTGGATCACACTTCCTTCTGATATGGGGTCCCTCTCTTCTGTGAAGGTCTCTATTCTAGTCTTCGTGAAGCAGCCTGACGTACCCTTCTTTCTCTGCGTTTTTCAAATGGCCACAGTGATGTCACTCTCAGCTGTTTCTAAGCTGGTTGCTAACCTCAAGACTAAGGGAATGACTCAGCTGGAATCAGTAACCTTGTCTTTAAAAGGTCAGACTATTTTGAACCACCACCACCATAGACTTAATGCAGTACACCATTTACCAGACAGGTATACATTAAATACAGGTATACTAAACATGTGTTCTGAGTAAAAGAGACTTATAAAAGATGGAACATTGCTTGCCAAGATTCAAAAAAGTTTTAACTTTGAAATTTCATTAAAGTTAGTCTGTTGAAGGTGCTGGAGAGGATGTGGAGAAATAGGAACACTTTTATACTGTTGGTGGGATTGTAAACTATTTCAACCATTATGGAAAACAGTATGGCGATTCCTCAAGGATCTAGAACTAGAAGTACCATATGACCCAGCCATCCCATTACTGGGTATATACCCAAAGGATTATAAATCATGCTGCTATAAAGACACATGCACACGTATGTTTATTGAGGCACTATTCACAAGAGCAAAGACTTGGAATCAACCCAAATGTCCATCAGTGACAGACTGGATTAAGAAAATGTGGCACATATACACCATGGAATACTATGCAGCCATAAAAAAGGATGAGTTTGTGTCCTTTGTAGGGACATGGATGCAGCTGGAAACCATCATTCTCAGCAAACTGTCGCAAGAACAGAAAACCAAACACCGCATGTTCTCACTCATAGGTGGGAACTGAACAATGAGATCACTTGGACTCTGGAAGGGGAACATCACACACCGGGGCCTATCATGGGGAGGGGGGAGAGGGGAGGGATTGCATTGGGAGTTATACCTGATGTAAATGACGAGTTGATGGGTGCTGACGAGTTGATGGGTGCAGCACACCAACATGGCACAGGTATACATATGTAACAAACCTGCACGTTATGCACATGTACCCTAGATCTTAAAGTATAATTTTTAAAAAATAAAATAAATAAATAAAGTTAGTCTGTTGAGAATGGTAGACATTTTTAAAGCTACTAGTGAACTCCCAAAACTCAATTCAGCAGGCTTTCCTCTGACCTCATCTTCCTTGACCACTAGGCCCTAGAGTCCAAAGGCTGGAGGGGCCGAAGTTCTGATGCCCAAAAGAAGGAGACGAAGGGTGTCCCAGCTTCAGGAGAGAGAGGAGAGGAGAGAGAGAAAGAGACTAGCATTCAACACAATTGTCCCTCTAACCTTCCATTCCTATCCTGGCTTCTCTGACATCCACAATGCCAAGTTACTTTTGCTCTTATTCCTTTCGTGTTCCCTCAGGTAGTTTATTCATGCCAAGTACCTGCAGTTATCACCTGCATGTGGTTTCTTGGTATTAGTTGGGAGTTGCAAGTAATAGAAACCTAACTTGAACTAGGTTACATTTTACAAAGATATTTAAGGATCTTAGGCAAGAATGAAGCTGCCTAAATAAGGAATACTTGGGATCAGGGACTCAAACATGTGAGTCTTCTACCAATTTTGTTTTCTTTTTCTGTGTGACTGTTGCATTTTCCTGTGTGCAGACCATTTTGAATTTATATCTCTTTTGTTCTAGAGAGCTGGAAGACTGGGTTCTAATGTCTTGGTCTCAATTCCAGATTTGTAAGTAAGGCTATTGATTGGCTCAGTTTAGGCTCAGGTCTCAAATAAATCAATTTCAGCAGGCAGTACAGTCAAGGGAAAAGGTTAGGTGATCACCTTGGATCAATCAACCATGGCTGGGTGCTCATAAGAACATGGCGTCTCTAATGTCACCTCCAGACTTAGCCTCCCATCTGAGCACATAAAGAATTTGCTAGATATTGTCACATGCTGCCATCTCCAATTTAAGCCTGAAACTGATCTCATAATTTCCCACCCAAACTATAGGCCACCTTTACTATTTGTGAATGAATAGTATCATCATTCTGTCATCATCCTTGGCCCAAACCTTGGATCATCCTGCCCCATCTCCTTCTCTTCTGAGTACAGTCACCAATTTGTAAAATAGTAATGATTAATATTTAGTGAATATTTACTGTATACCACTAAATGATATATGTATTATCTCCTTTAATTCTCAAGTAAACTCCTGAGATAGATTCTATAGGTAAAGCCATTTTTACAGTTTAAGAAACTAAAAAAGTTAGCTTGCTCAAGATCATACAACTACAAAGTAATGGGACTTAGGAGTCAATTTAAGTCCGTTCAAACTCTGAGCCAAAGCTTTTGTTTTGTTTTGTTTTGTTTTGTTTTTTGAGACCAGGTCTCACTCTGTTGCCCAGACTGGAGTGCAGTGGCTTGGTATTGGCTCACTGCAACCTCCGCCTCCTGAGTTCAAGTGATCTCCTACCTCAGCCTCCCAAGTAGCTGGGACTACAGACGTGTGCCAAGACTCCCGGCTATTTTTTATTTTGTATTTTGTATTTTTAGTAGAGACACACTTTCACCAGTTGGCAAGGCTGGTCTCGAACTCCTGACTTCAGGTGATCTGCCAGCCTCAGCCTCCCAAAGTGTTAGGATTACAGATGTGAGCCACAGTGCCTGGCCTAAGTCAAAACTTTTAACAATCATGCGATACTGTCTTATCACTTCTCAAACATTTTTGTTACATAATATTTCTGATATCTCATACCCTACAAATCCCTCCCCAATCAGCTTGTACACCCACACAAACAACCCTGGCACTGCCATTCCCCTACAGCTGGAAAGCTAGAGTCCAGTGTGAGTAGTCCAAACTTTTTCAAGGGTTGCAGTGCTATGTTCCTTGACGTTATATGTTAATTTTTAAAACAATGTGTTCATTTTTTTCTTTTTTTTTTTGAAATAAGTCTCACACCCATCACCCAGGCTGGAGTGCAGTGGCGTGATCACGGTTAACTGCAGCCTCGACTTCCTGGGCTCAGGTGATTCTCCCTCCTCAGCCTCTCGAGTAGCTGGGACTACAGGCACATGCCACCACTCCCAGCTAATTTTTTTATTTTTTTGTAGAGATAGGATTTCACCACGTTGCCTAGGCTGGTCTTAAACTCCTGGGCTCAAGCAATCCTCCTGCCTTGGCTTTCAAAAGTGTTGGGATTACAGGCATGAGTCACGGTGCCCTGCCAGGTTTCTTTTCTTTCTTCTTTTTTTTTTTTTTTAAAGCAGTGAAGTGTATTAGCTTGTTCTATTTCTCTTTAAATCATTCATTCCTCTGTTATATTCTATATTTTTCATGACTCACTGGACACCTGCAAAAATTCCAAAGCATAAAATGCTTTTGATGGATATAGCCACTTATTTTTGGCCTATGTGCTGAATATATCATATTTTCTTTGACTAGATGCCCCTCACTGTTAAGACTATTCCTAGGAAAGACTTTCTCATAATGTGCATCAATTTTCAAGTCTGGTGAACCTTGCAACTCCTCCACTAGGGCACATTTTCCCTTGGAACATGGCAGTGTAGATCTCCTCTCACATATAACCATTTGCTGGCCTATGTTGAATTTCTATTGCTTATGGTTAGTAGTTACAGTAGGGGGACTTCAAAATGGTGCCCAAGGACCCTCTCCTCCTGATCTTCACTCCTTTGTTTAATCCCTTCTCTCAAGTTTAGATTGCACCTCATGGCTTGCTTCTACACAATAGGATACAGGAAAGTTGATGGATGTCACTTCCAAGAGTGATTACAAAAAATGGTGATGGCTGTCTTGCTAGGAGACTCTATTTCATTGTTGGCTTGTACACTTCGATGAATCAAGTTGCCATGTTAAAGAGGCACATATAGTAAGGGGATGAGCAAGAAGCCAAATCTTCCTATCCACCAGTGTAAGCTTGGAAGCAAATCCTTCCCCAGTAAAGACTTGAGATGACCCTGGTAATAAGAAACCCTGTTAGGCCCTTCCTGGATTCTTTGACCCACAGAAATTGTGAGATAATGTTTCTTGTCTTAAGCCACTAGGTTTTATGGATTTTTACTCAGAAACAGATTAATAATATAACAAAATTCAAAACATCAACCTTTCCTGTATTAAACTGATGTAATCATATATTTGACTTTTTGGGAAAAACTATTTTTACAGCTGTTTAACTTTTATTTGAGTCACACAATAAGCTATTTTTGTTCATCCTTAGAGTGTTTCCAGTTGATGACTTCCATTATCCTATGCTAGGAACAGGGAAAGAGGCAAATGCAAACATGTGGCTCCTTTTCTCTTAACACTCCAACATTTGAGAAGCTGCAGCAAGTACACTTCCAACAGAATTATGTGAGCCTTTCAATGTGACTTCTTGCCAATCCAAGGTCCCTCAACTAACATTCTTTCTACCATCAATTTCTTCATGTAATATTCTTCCTACTAAATGCTAAACACACACTAAAAATTTAAATTTCAAAACTTAAAAACATAGCATATTAGTTTAGAAAACTAATGAGAACAGTAGGGAAAAATATCTTTATAATCTGAAATGATTCCAAAATTAATTCCAAAGTGCATACAATTCAGGCTGCCAAATAACCTGTTAGTTATCAGTTGTAGTGAATAAATTACCAACTCGTTTTTATGATGTGATGACAACTTTGGCTTTAGTGACCATATTCTCTGTGATAACAAAGAGCAAAGGGGCACCCACTACCTGTTTCCTTAGATGTAAAGTGTTGTACTCCTATTTTCACAAATTACAGAAAGATAATTGTTTTTGTTAATTATTTTCTTGGGAATATAAATTTTACACTGATCCTGCCATCAAAGATTTGTATTTACATAAAGCCAAATCTACATAAATAGCCAAATTTCTGTTTGTGGAGAAAATAAACAAATATTTACTGTTTCTCCCTTTTTGCTCCAAGAAGCACCACCTTAAGCCACATGTATCTGTGCACCCCCATAAACCATCAAGTGTAATATTAGCCAGTTAGATGATCCTTTTTAGGGGAGAAAAAAGGGTCAGAAGCCAA